AGATCAAATCTGTGCTTATTATCTAGATGTTTTTCATACACATTATTTATAGCTTCGGCCCTGGCTAAAGAAGGTCAAGTTGACCCAAGTCAAAATTTTTGATGGTTTTCCATTGATTCCCCAACATAATCTTTGATGGTAACCAACATAAGTAACCATCACCCCAAGGTAGGAATTCGGACAGATTTATGTTGGTTCAACATAATAATAGCAACTTGTTTTGATGGTTTGCTCATGTTGGACCATCAGAAATTTCCTTCATAGTTTCTTGGAAATCAAATGTTGGGACTATCAAAAACCACCGTGACCCCAATTCAGGAATTCGGGACAGGTTTATGATGGTCAAACATAGTAAAAACTTGTTTTGTTGGATCATTCCTGTTGATCCAACAAATATTCCGCTTTTAGTATCTCGGAATCTCTTTGTTGAAACAATCGTTCCAATGATAACTTATTATTTTATGAAGTGCAAGGAAAAAAAACGCCTTGTAAATATTACACAATTAAGTAGAAAAATTTATCATTCTTAATGACCTTTTTTTTTAAAAAAAAATATTGCTGTGGTGGTACCTAAATGAATTTTATTTCCCTGGATCATTAACAAAATTCCATATTTGTCTGATATAAGTAAACTTCAATATTTAGTAATTTAATGTTAGTGGTATAAATTTTATAATAAGATATGACAAAGAAAAATTTTGACAATTTTTGAGTTTTTTTTTTTTTAAAAATTGGCAATCTTATAATCTGTTTGGCACCTTGGTGATTGTTATTGGCACAACAGATCACAATACGGATATATCCCTGAAATATTTGGCTAAGATAAACTTTCTTTTCCTAAAATAGTTTGTTAAGCAAAGTTGCAATACGCATTAAATCAATACATTGATTTTTTTATTTTAATTTTCAGTGTCTCGATTGAAACTTCTGAAATTGTGGATGATAATGAGCTTGTGTATGCGAGGAAACTATCCCTTCAGAGATTGATTTTGAATTCCCTGTTTTGGAAAAAGATTCAAGTAAAAATCTAAATTATCTTTTTACTTAACAATTTGAAGTGACTATCAGGATGTCTAAGAGCGAACTTCTTTTGATGGTTTACAACTTTGCCCTACGCCATCACTTGTCAGATGTAGCTATGATTGATCTGACAAAAATGATGAATGTCATACTCGGAGATCAGCTACCTCAAACTTTGTATGGAATTCATAAAATTCTTGGAACAGATTGCTTAAAATCTGCCAAGCAGCATTATTTTTCTAATAATTGTTTAAATTATGTGGAAACTCCATGTAATGATGATAAATCTTTTATATGCACTAAATGCAGCTCCAACATAAATGTATCCAATCCTAACTTAGATAACTCTTTTACCGTCAGTGATCATCAAAATCAAATTTCTAATGTCATTAAATCAAGTGAGGGGCTTCAAGATAAAATTGTATCCAGTGTAAATTCTTGCCCAGCAAATAATAATTCATCTGTCATTGCAGATATATCTGATGGGAGACCTTATAAGGGTATGCAATCTGTTCCTCAGCCTTTCCTTACGTATAATTTTTCTTTGAATGGCTTAGCCCTTTTCAATAGCGGAAAAGGGTCAGTTGGGCCAATTTTTTTTTTATCCATCAACGAATTGCCCCTTGAAGAAAGAAATAAGTATATTCTTCTTGCTGGTGTCTGGTTTCGAAAAGTTGAGCCCAAGTTTGATATTTCTTTGAAGCCATTCGTGGAACAGGCTCAAACTCTTGCCTGTGAGGGACTAGATATTTTCTTAAATTCAAGAAAATGTGTTGTAAAACTTTTTCCACATCCAGGTTTTACCATAAACGGTACCGTAAAGTATATCATAAAAGAAAAAGTCATTCATGAAGACCGAGATGAGGTTGAAACTGCCAAACTAATGTCTGTAGCTGCTTCAACTGGCAAACATTTATTGCGTATTAAAGGACCACCTCCTCTGATATCCATCCCAAAATTTAACATCATTCAAGGCTTTTCTACTGATTCTAAGCATGGAATTTTTTTGGGTGTCGTAAAAAAATTGGTAAATTTATGGTTTGACACAACGAGTTGCAAGCAAGAATATTATGTTGGTAATAAATCACGCAAGATAATTAACGAGTGAATTTCATCGTTCATAATGCCAAAATCTGTAGGGCGTACACCTCAACCAATAGAAAATAGAAAGAGTTATAAGACAAGCGAATGGCAGAATTTTTTACTATACGTAGGAGAATTTACCTACGAACTTTGAGGAGAGACGATTCAGACATTTGTAAGAAACAGTATTTTATTATTATTATTATATTACATGTTTATTTTTTTCTTTCAGGTGGTCCGAAAAACTATGCCTACATGACAGATAGTGGCAAGACTGTATGCAAAGTTCGCGGTTTTAGTTTAAATTTCAAAAATAGCCTAAATCTTAATATTGATTCCATTTATAGTTTAGTATCCAACCTGGATGATCGCTCTGCCATCCCCATCTACAACCCAACAAAAATAGTCAGAGATCCAAAGAAGAGAGTATTCAACAAGGAGGAGATAAAGGAATATAGGATGGTCTATAACAAACGAGTCATAAGGCCAGATTTCACCACAGTTCCCTATGGTTACTAAAGGCTGAAGACGAGGGTTTTGGAGGAAGCAGTCCCCCCCACACACACATACATATTATATAAAAAAGGGCCCTTTTCAGGGCCAACAAATATTACACAAACATTCACTTACACACACATGTGCACAGAACAAAAGGAGGAAGAGGGAATTTTCAGGTATAGTATATAACCAAGAAAAAAAGAAAGAAAACTTGTATGTATATGTTTTGTTTTTTAATAGAAATAAAGAAACATTTTATTTCAACTGCTTTATTTATTTATAAAAAAAATACCATGTTACAAAATATGTCACGTTATTTAGTATTTCAGCCAACGTTTTTTTCTAGCAAACAGGACTGGTGGACTCGTTACAGTAGGTGAGTCAGTAAACACATTTTTATTGATTACATATTCTTCAGGTATTTTCATTTCTTTTAAAGCTTCAAAAAATACTTTTTGGCCTTTTGGTTGTTTCTTCTCGTTTCTCAGTACATTATTAATTAGGTAAGTGATATTCGTTCCAGGGAGTAGTTTCTGTTTGTACAAAATTTCTCCTTTATCAGTCCAAGAAAATTGTTCTTGATTAGTTTGTAATAATCGAAAAAATTTTAGCTCGCTCCTTTTGACTTTTGGGTACAACATTCATTAGCTGCATTTCTATTATATCACTGTTTTCCGTAACATTTTCTTCTTTAATTTCGTTAGGCTTTTCTTCCATTTCAGGAGAGGTATCAACCACTAATTCAGTTGTTTTGTTTTTTTTTTTTGCAAAAAGTTAGGAATTTGACATACTTTTGAAGAATTTGCAAATATAACACTGGTTTCTCATTCTCAGGAATAGTTTGATTTTTAATAATGTCTTGCATTTGCTTATCCAACTCAGATAGATGTTCAACAGTATTAACTTGTAACCTATTTTCGGAAATAAGGATAAGTTTTTTAGCGTGCTCCATTAATTAAGGATGTTAGAGCTGTAATGGCCGCTGGTATCAGAAATCCTAAAAATCCGTCACCTCGTTGAACAAGAATTTTTCTCTTACGGAATAAAGGTACTTTTTTGTCAGTAAGTTTTCTTAAGCGTCTTTTAAATGGTGATAGTTTCTTCTTTTGATTTTTATTCAGAGGTATATTTCCTTTTAACAAATTAAGTACACATTCACAAATGTGTTTGATAGATTTAGCAGGACAAAGTTGTAAAAATTTCCGCTTTGATTTCAATTTAGCCACAGATTGTAAGACCTCTAAGCAACGGTGCTTACTGTTCGACATTCTAATTGCAATTGATTGTTTTATTCATTGAGAGAAATAATTTTTGGGCTTCTGATTACAGTTAACACAGTTGTGAATCGCAAATTTGTTCGAGCTAAATAAACAAATGGTTATCGTGGTTGGTACACGATCATTTTATCGTTTGGTAATATACCTGTGCGCAGGCGCAAATTGTCTTCCGTATCTGGTTTTAAATCTACTAAAAGGTACCCGAAAGGTTTTGAAGTCGCGTCTTGATACACTTCTTGGAAAAATTTCACTTTTGTTGGGTACAGTTGTCTACCAAGATGAGTAATTTGACTTTGATCTCGAGGATTTTTAAACAAAATAAGATAATGGGAATTCAGAGATATTTCTCTCATCTCTTTACCTTTATGGAAAATATTTTGAACTATAAAAATTACGGAGACGTTACGATGGTGACTATGTTTAGTAAATAGATGAGTTAGTTTGGAATTACTTCCTAATTCAGACATAAGATCATCGAGAATAATTAATGCATTTGAAATAATATTTAAATCAGAAGGAACGCCTTCATGAAATGTCACATTCGGTATTGTTTCAAACATAGCTTGATACGCTCCGTAACACCAAATCACAGATTTTGGGAAAGGTTCGATTATTTTAGACTCAATTATTGTTTTACAGAGTTGACTTTTCCCACATCCCGTTGGCCCGGCCAAGATACACGTAAACGAATGTCTGAGTTTAGGAAATTCCATAGCTAATTGAGAAAGAAATAACAAACGAGAATATTTATTAAAAGTAATTAACATAAAAAGCGGTAAGTAAATAAAAGCACAAAATGAAGTATCACAACTTTTTTTTTTTAAATATTTTTTTATTGTTTGAAAGCAAATCGTACACCAAATTTTTTTTTTACAAATTGATACACTCTAAAGTCATTTTTTCTGTTAACATCGAGATTTCTTATAATTGATAACATAGATATATTACGACAACGGTTATATATGAAAAAAAATGCAATAGGCTCCACATACATTGGATGTTAGTGATTAAAAAGTTACAGTATTCCAACATGTGTTAGAAATGTTAAATAAACTATAAATATTAAGTCCATAAAAATCGGGCGAATGTCCATAGGAATCAAAAAATTCTAGTGTTTTTCCTTCAGCCATGTACATAGCTAACCAGTGAAATCCTGGTCGAGTTGATCAAATTAGCTAGCGGTCTCTCAAATTTCATTTCAACTCTTAAATTACTGTGCTTTATTAAATTGAAATGATCGCCGTCGCATAAGTCAGGTGATAAGTCAAACGCATAGAGGGTAAACCCATCACAGAACTCTTCCCGAGAAATAAAATTGCCTCTATCACTTCTCATATGCTCAGTGCTCATAAATAAATTTTGATAGGCTCTGATATACTGATTTTGTGAAAAGTTCAGCTCCAGTGGATTATGAGGAACTGGTTGACCATCTACGTAGACTGCGATAAAATTTAAATTAAAATGTTTAAAATCAAAAGGATTTTTCTCGAATGTGCCGTGAAATGCATCATTTTCCACACATCCTATGATGAGTCGTTTAAGGATTTGTCCCACAAATACATTGTCTTGAACAAAAGACATGCTACCTTTAGGAATGGAATATGCTTTACAGAGGACTCGATCGATAGGATATTTTGCAGTATCTTTTTCTAAAGCTTTCGCATGTCCTAAAATTACACCAGGACTTACACGCACTTTTCTTATTAAAAGTGAAATTCTATCTAGTATAATTTTATATCCAGATTTGCCGATCAAACAAAATTCAGGTTTACTGCGAATCAACTTTATTTTTAAATCTAAAATATTTAATAATAACCTGTTTTGATGAAAAAGATCACTATGTATACAACCAATCATGTCCACACTAGCACTTAGTTTAAAGAACTCTGATCTTTTTTTAAATCCATCGTTGGAATCCTTATAATAAAGTTCTGATGTGAGTTGGGAGGTTTTACTATCATAACCATGGTTTAAAAGTGTTTCTATATAGGATCTGTAAGGATAGGTGTTGCTCGAATTTGAAATGATGCGATCGTTTAAAGATACATCCACTTGAGAAAACAAGGAATGTAAAAATAAATTAACTGGTCCAATATCATCATCTTTCGTTAAGGTTGTATTATTATTTCTTAAAATATTTGCTTGCACGTGCAGTTGAGTCTGGCTTAAATCAATAAATTCCTCGCCGGATCCAGATATATGAAATTCTACGGGTCCGCCATCAAATACATTCGATAACGGATGGAATTCTACCCACTGTCCACTTTGAATGACGGTTTGTGTACCAGGCATCTGAAACAATTCCAGTTCAGATTTCACACATTCTGGAGAGCCCTTCAATAGAAATGTCATGATTAGAAGTCGAAAATATCACGTCCTCTTGCTTTCTGTTTCTTTGATGGAATGATTTTTTTCTTGGTCTTGCGCTTTTTTTTATATCCTCCACTACCAATCATGGACTGTATTTTTCCAAGTGCTTTATTGGCCAAATTTTTACCCGATTCCTTTGTTCTAATTTTGGCCGATGTCTTCAAGTCCTGGCCTGCTAATACATCCGACACAACTCGTGATCCTGTAGCTAAGGCTTCTTTTCCAATAATTTTTGTCCCTCGATATATGTATGGTAAAGCTGCTTTAAATAATCGTCTAAATATGCCGCCCAGACCATAGCCTTTTTGGTAAGATATGCCTCGATAATATGGCAAACCATATCCTGTTTGAGAAGTATAATGATCTTCCAACTTCTTGGAGCAACAAACATAAGGTACTTTCATCTTGATTGTTAATTTTGTAATGAAACATTTTTGAAAAAGCACTATATATTTATAATACCTGTCGCATTCGGAAATGCAATACAACCATCACTTTACCTCTTTCAAATGGGACAAAGTCGCCTGAATTCAGTCTGAGTTCAATTTGAATTGATTGAAATGAATGTCTCATTAAAGGTAAATACTGAGTTCTATCATAATACTGACTGATAGTTTCTCCATCATATCCTTTTATTCGAACGATCCTCAGTAAAGGCGCTTGTGTATCACCTACAATTTGTGGTGATACGAGATCAATATATACGTAGAAAACTGAAAAATTAGACCATGCATCTGCTACATATTCACTTTTCATATTGCCCATGATAATTGTATCCCGTTGGAATCCTAACAGCTCACCTAATTTCTCTAAATGAAGGCTGCTACCTTGAACCGCATTAATTTTTACACGTTTGGTAGCTTTGTTGTAATTTATTGTAAATCGACTAGGATTTTTAGGTAAAGCAAGTTGCATACCCTCCAACTGCTACGGAATTTCCGTAGTTTCAGAAATCTTCTTTTCTGACGGTAGCAAAATTAATGTCTTAATATTTAAAAAAATAAATTTTAGCGTAACTTGTCCACTATTACTTATAAAAGTGCAGGCCATATGGCTAGATTCTTAAGTTCTGATAAAAGTTTTATGAGAGATCCATTTGCTTTAAAAATGTCTACTTTGCTTCGCTACCACTAGAAAGAATTATTTTCAAAATCCTCATAAGTTGGAGGGTATGAAGTTGTATGGCTGATACGATATCGAACATTGATTCATAACAACCCACATCAATTGTTTGCTTAACAGTTGATACGATATTACCATTACTAATCTTGTAGTGAAAATAATTGTTCGTTTCATTAACGTTAAGCTAAGAATGGGGATATATGATTTCTGATAGGCCTACTTCCCATTCACCTTTTAAATCCACTGGTATTGAGTTTTAAAATGAGAGATTTTGTTATCTAGAAAAAATCGCATAGAACTATCGGAGGGCAACGTNACACAAAAGTTCAGCCTGGAAAACAGTACATTCATTATGTAGTCGGTGCTTGGCAGTAACCTTTTCTGTTCCATTTTCATAAATTACAAAAGCAAGACCAACCCTTCCATCAAGCTTGCTACCATCCGTAAAGCAGATAGTTTTATATTCCTGAAAAACATTATTTACATAAGAAATAATTATAACAGGTTTCCCGCATGCTGGGTGGGGCAAACATGAAATAGGAAGCTTCCCGTCCAGGTTTAGACAATCGTTGTCTTTTATCTTCTCCTTTAATTCAAGATTATTTAAGATAATTAAATCAATAGGCGGTAGACCAGCGATAACAAAGACCGCATCATAACTAACAGTTCTATATCCCCGAATAATACGTAGAAGAATTCTTCTTTGAGTTCTCCTAAGGATTCTAATATTTATCTTCTTTCTCAAAGAGTTTCCCCAAGATCCTGAAGCGTATGAAATAAGTGGTACAATACCTTGATTATATATTAATTTAAGAACATCTGTTTTAACCCCGTAAGTATTTTTTGAAATTCGCAATAAAGCAAGAAGAAGTTTTTCACTTTTACTGGATACATAAGATATGTGCTGCTTAAACTGCAGTTTATTATCAACAATAACTGCCAAATACTTTATCAGCTTTACTTCTTCAATAGGTTCATTCCCAAGAGTCAACTGAATAACCCCATCCGGTATCGACTTTTTATGTATCATCATAACTTTAGATTTCAAAGGATTGAATTCCAGCTTATAAAGTTTCGACCATTCAAAAACGTAATCCAAGATATTCTGAGAAAGAACACAAGCATCATTAAAATTACGATTAGCCATCTCTTACGATTAGCCTTCACTATTTATACTTTTTGAATATCAGTCACCCAATCATTGAACTTATCTGGGTACCCTAAAAATTTAACATAATATTGCAAAATTCCATTGATTCTTTTTTTCTTGAGTGCTTTTTCTACTGGGTAAAAACCGGAATCAACTACCTTTTATAATTCTTCTTCATAAAACGTACCTTTTA